GATGATAGATAGATGATAGATTGATAGATGATTGATAGATAGATGATAGATAGATAGATGATAGATGATGATAGATAGATAGATAGATAGATATAGATATAGATAGATAGATGATAGATAGATGATAGATAGATAGATTAGATAGATAGATGATAGATAGATAGATAGATAGATAGATAGATGATAGATAGATGATAGATATAGATAGATAGATGATAGATGATAGATAGATAGATAGATAGATAGATAGATAGATGATAGATAATGATAGATAGATAGAGATACATGATAGATGATAGATAATGATTATATGTATATTATAATAAATCTATTTTAAATTTCAAATTTTGAAAGGAAACCAGAATTTGTAGATAAAATTCTGCTCCATTTAATCTAAGACATCTTATATTGTGAAATGATCTAGTATCCACTAAGATAAATGCCTTAAGAATTAAAAAAATTATTATATTCACTAGCTTCTAATTATACATGAGAATACTCAGGTTCTTAGACTATTTGCTCTCAGGAATACATCTAATTCTATATATACACCCCCTACCTCAAAATTGAATTATACAATAATCTCAAATAACTAAATACGGTTAAACTAGGCTGCCTCAAGTTTATTGTATTTATTTTCCACCAGATTTAATCATCTTTGATTATATTTCATATTGTATGCAAAGGCTGAATAGATGCTGAGGGTTTGTTCTTTAATGGAAATGACCATCCTCCCACTTTCTATCTACAAATATGGGTGTAATTTTCAGTAACAGAAATGATTTTGCTTCCCGATTAATTACTTATTAGTGATGTACATACATTCCAGCGCGGCTCCAATATAACAGACACTCTTGTGTTTTTGTCCCAAATCAAGGTTACGCCGGTGTCGAATTTCAGAATCAAGTAGAGGCCAACGGTATGCACGGAGTATACGTTTCCATCGAGTCCACATTCCTTACTGTCTGTCGTTTTGATGGCCGTTACTTTACCATCTTGCAAGATAACATTCTGATCCTGTAAATAAAAAGATATACTTACAATTACATCTGTTTTATTTGGCCACTCATAATCGGAGAGAAAAAGTAAGTGACGAGAAATAGTACCGTACCTCTAAAGCAACTATGATTCTTCTTGAGCACGTGAGCCCATCTTCACAGCATGGGACGCTTTCAGTTAAAATACGGAATGTGCCATTTTCACCACCACAATAATCCTTTAAAAATTAAGTTATAATAAGTTTATGAATATCAGAGACATGGAACTCAATTACAATATTTGTATCAGACAAATATCTCTTACTCAGTGACACCTTAAACTCAATAAATTACCATACGTTGGTAATTTATTATGGAATGTTATGGAATTTCCAAAAGACAATTGTCACCTTGGCTGAGTCTAAACTAGTTAACTCACTTTGACTCAGCCTTTTCTCATTACTTCTATACAGGTTTAGAATTATTCCATAGAATAATAAGTATTTAAATTATATGTTTGTAATAGTAAACTTCTATTTTACTAGTATAAGTATTTAAATTATAAGTATTTATAAGTATTTAAATTATATGTTTGTAATAGTAAACTTCTTTCTAGTGCTGTAAATAACTAAAGGTATATATTTTTTCTCTCAGTGATTTATATGAAACTTAATATTCAATCAAAACTAAAGCATAAATACAAACCAATCCTCGTTTCACCCATTAGGTATTATTGAGGAAGGAGCTTAGCTGTATGTAACAAACTGTGGAATCAGTCAGATCAGGTTTGTCTGTCTTCTTAGTAAGTTATCCTCTCTAACCTCCATTTCTTCATCTAGGAATACTTCTATTGTAGGAATACTACCATCAGTCCTTTAGTATTGTAATGATTAAATGTATTCAAATATATGTTTGCCTGGCAAAGAAGCACTCATAAAATGTTGTCATTGTTACTAATAATGCTGTTCTTGAAAAAATAATATCTAACATTTAGTAAGCACCTAGCATGTGCTCCAATTTTTTTTCTAATTTGGTTTCAAGTAAGGGCTATTTCCATCCCTGTGTTATTGATAAGGAAACTGAGACACAGAAAGGCTAAGGGATGTGCCCAAAGCTGCACATGTGAGAAATGGTAGAGCCAGGATTCAAACCCAGGTGGGCTGCATTCACAGTCAGCATTACTTTGTTATATTTTACTGCCTTTGAGAAACATATAAGGGGCCTTTAAAAAAATTTTACATTTTGAAAATAAAATTCTCCAGAGCTCATAGACAATAAATAATATGTAAGAAATATAGAAAAACTGTGATAAAACACTTGCAATTACCTCAACAAATGAATACTGGCAGAGACCATCAAAGGTGTAACTTTTTCTATCAAAAGTTCGAACATGACCTTCCCCATAGATGTCGCAGGTACTTTGACATTCATTTTGCGTACAGTTCCAAGATCCTTTTATGCAAGTACTAAAGAAAAGCAATAATAGAGTGTGTGGTAATTATATTTTTCCAAGATTTACATACTCATACTGTTTTGTATAAAAGCACAAATAATGTTTCATATTGATTTACATTTGCAGTTGTCTTCATTATACTTTATGATGTTCATATATAATGCTATATCAGGTTTCTATGTAAAGATATAGCATTTTTTTCTAAGTACATTCGACCATTATTTTTGAAATATCCTAAAGTATAATTTCTTCTTTCCCGTAAAAATAAGAGAGGACTGTACATTTTCTAATATCCAAAACAAATAAAATAGTAATCCTTTATTAGGCACCATTTGTTGCAGCCAACTGGGGTGACAGTTCCTTGGGCATACTCTCGTCCACCAAAAGAGCATGGGCAGTCATCAGGAAAGACACAGTTCCCTTTAGAGTCTCGAACCATTCCTACCGGACAGTAGCACCCACGTTTGCAAGGCAAGTTCTCCTAAAGGAGTAAGTACATAATATACACCATAAAGCACTGCTCTAAGCACATCACGCTATCAGCACTAATTTACAATGCATAAATATACCAAGCATGCATTTAGTGTCAATATTGGACAAGTCAAAATAACACACAATAATTAAAATGCACTTCTAACTACTTTTTATTGACATTTCAATTTCTTCTGCTCTGAAACAATGAAAAGTTTTTACGAGCTAAACTCTAATGCCTTGTCACTTACCTCAAAATTAGGTATGTTCCGAGTGTTGCATGTGCTGTCAACTCTTCTCTGTGCCTTGGGGTCACTGCAGTCAACATATTCAGCCCCTCCAGAGCAATTCTCTGCAGGATAAAGGAAGATGTTAATCAAGGGCCTCTTGATTTGTTTATTTTAACCAAAGTAAGTATATTAAGCCTTCATCATGATCCCAGCACTTACGTAGGGTTAAATCGATAGGAGTCTGGCAAAGAAGAATTCCATCCCGACAGACACTGGAAGTAAAGGAAATGATACATTTAAACATCGAATTTCAAAAATGACATTTTACTACACTTTAACCCCTAATTCATGAACCACCTGTTTTATCCCAAGTAGGAGTATGAATGAGACACAGTCCCCAGAAGACACAAATGAACCAAAGTATAAGATACAGCCTTGTACATATTACAGGAATGTACAAACAAGGTTGTGTGTACAAACAAGGCTGTATGGCCACTGTCTACTTTTCCAGCCCAATCCTATGCAACAATAACCTACATGTGCGATGCATCTTCCAGCATTTTCTACATTAGTATATTCTGTTTACTCTTCTGGAAATCACTCTTTACAGCCCAATTTTTTCTGGGGGGAAATCATCCCTTAGGAAAACTCAAATGCTGATCTTCTCTGAGAAGCTTTCCTGTCTCCTCAGGCAGCAACTGGCCCTTTCTGCTACAATATTAAGTATACAAACCTTCTCACAATAGTCACCACCCTGCTTACTCTGTGAATCCAAGACTACATTCATTCGCCTTTGCAACTCCGGTGCTCAGCAAAAGGCCTGGCACACAGCAGATATTTATTTATTTATATTTATTTACTTATTTATTTATTTACTTATTTATTTAATAAGTGTTTGTTGAATGATAAATGCTGAGAGACAACTGGAAAGCATCATCTGAATAGGAAATCATTTTGCATTGTTTGCATGTGGGAGCTACTAAAATATTCTTCTACTGTTATTTAAAACCAAACAATAGGATAAATCAGTTATAGCCATGATGATGAAGTGAACAGTAACCAATAACCTATGAAGGGGATAAAAACCAACCTTACTAGGAAATAAAAAGTAAAAGATATGACAGGTCTAAAGAAAACATCATACAAGCAGACTATTTCTCTGAAAAGGGCAGTCCCTAAAATCAAAGCCATAACAAATATATATGTACTCTCCATACCATTTATTGTCGTCAATATGGATGAGTTTGCCTGGTTTTATGACCTCGTCATTCATGTAGCAGTCACACTGAGACTTTGAAACACAATTTCCTTCATTGTTCTGGTACATCTCATCAGGGCAGGTGCATCCATCAACCGGAACATCTTCTACATCACAGCTCCTATCTCTCTCTGACAAGGATCTGCAAGAACTATTGCAGGCTTTTACGTTGTACTTGAAAACTAGGCCACTGGGACACGAGTGATCTGTAGGTATAAGGACAAAAAAAGTGAATATCTACATATCCAGAAAAATTAGTAACTTTACTTCAACTTGATGTTCATAGATATTATAGTATATTATTCATAATTGAGATTATCAATAATTAAGAAAAAAGTACTTGTTGTTCATGGTTTTATTTTCTCCATTTATTTCCAGTCAATATTGAGTCCCTACTACATGTTTCCATATTTTGCTGGGGATAAAGCCCATAAACAGATTGGTAAGTCCGCTCTCAAGTGGGTTATATTGCTGGGGAAGGGCACTTGTGTTGTGAGCTATAAAGCAAGATGGGCAGTTATTACTGTGTAGAGCCGGGAGCCTGCACTTAGTGAAGTGGCGGGGCAGTGTGAAGGCAGCCCGGAGAAAGATAATCTCATGTCTGGGGAACAGCCTCAGTTAGAAGGGAAGGAAATTCTTGTAAAGAGCACATAAGAGAATCAAAGCTATAAACCCAGACACAGATTCAGCAGTAAGAACCCGCAGGGCCCCCTTAGGCAGCCTGGTCTCTTGGAGCCATGTCAAGCCATTGCCTTGTGTTAGACTGAGCGTCACGTGATCAGGTCAGCAGTACTTGGCTTTGCTGTGAAGACTATGCTCGCTATAGAAAACGGATTAGAGGGAACCAAGAGAGATACTGAAGGAGGCTATTATAGTCACCCAGGAGAAAAAAATCTTTTTTTGCTCTAGGTTGATGGCAATATAGATGGAGAGATGAGAACGGATTTTAGAGAAATTTTAGAAGTGAACTTGACAGAATTTAATGATTGGGTATGAGCTCTGCAGTATTATGATTTATAAAAGATGTTTTTTCTACAAAGTATTATTTTTGTAAATCAAGTACTTTCTCAAGTTGCATTCAAATAGTGCAATAAATATTTTAAAACAAAGCAAGGTTTTATAAATATGAGTGTTGAGTCTCTAATTTACTGATTTAATTTTATTTGTTTTTTAATAAATAAGTTTTTAATATTTGACTATCATTTAGAAATGCAGTGGGAGTTAGACATTATTTATTTATTTATTTATTTATTTTTAAATATATCTTTATTGATTTCAGACAGGAAGGAAGAGGGAGAGAGAGAGATAGAAACATTGATGATTAGAGAGTCATTGATTGGCTGCCTCCTGCACGCCTCATACTGGGGATCCAGCCCACAACCCAGGCATGTGCCCTGACTGGGAATCGAACCTCAGTCTCCTGGATCACAGGTTGATGCTCAACCTCTGAGCCATGCTTGGCCGGGCTAGACATTATATAAACTTTCAGCATACAATAATTGAACAGAAGCATATATTTATACATAAATACATACATATTCTCCGCTTGTTTAAATCTGAACATATTAAATCAGGATAAAAGAAATAAATCAAGAAGTAAAAATGTAAGGATTGCTCAAAGATAAAAGATTTTGTATGTATAGGGTGTTCCAAAAAATGTATACACACATTTTGAATAATTATAAAGGCAGTGTTTATTAAAATACATTTCATTTTCAAAATTGAGCTTTGAGTTGTTAAAGTGTGTATACATTTCTTGAGATGCCATATATATATATATATATATATGAGTGACCATATTTAAATCACACGCTAATCCCTTGTCTTGCAGTAGGCTGGGTTGCTTTGATTGGTAGTTCTAATAAGATTTATTCCAGTGAAGATGGGGCAGATTCCCAAAGGAATATCAGAATTTTATTACCAAAAAAAAAAGGGAGGCATGGATCTTGAGTAATCAATACAATTGGGGAACAGAAATGTACATTATTAATATTTTAAAATTATTATTTTCCTGGGTATAAATGTCTAAAAGTGTCAATGCAATATCAGGGACTATGAAGGTTTTTATAGTTCCTGCTGCCTAACATCACACTGATTTCCAAAAATGCCACACTGGTACCTGAAGCTCCTCCTCCCCTTCCCAGGACCAGGAAATATACTGTGTTAAACCATACCTCTGGCAACTAACCATCTGTCTGTATCAGAAATAGAAAATCATCTTTGAAAGAACCAAGTACAGATTTGTGAAGACATGGGCCTAAACACACACACACATACACACTATAGTGAAATTCAGAAGGAAGAAGAATTATCTAAAGCCTTCAGCCTTCTTACCGCATCGTCCAGTTCTCCATTCCACTATGTACGTTTCCTTCTCAGCACATGTTTTCACATAGTTGCCTAAAATTGTACACAGGCAATCTTGACCATTTTCACAAGTGCAAGTGTATTTTTTGCATTCCTTTAAAATAAAAAACAAATTTATATTACATTAGGAATATATTCAGAAGAACAGATAAGCTGAGAATAATGCTTCTGTTCATAACCCCTCTGCTTCCCCGAAAAAAAATTGTTTTTGAAACTTCGGGAAATATTTATTTTCAAAAATTTGCAAAACAGCAAATCAATTACTAAGTGAGTTTTCAAAGAACTTAGAAACGACAGAAAGAGAAAATCATTCCAGATTTTTCTCATTTTTTGTACCACTTTTTAAATTAAAGTTGGTATAGCTAACAATTAAATAAATTAGTGGAATCCAATGTTAAATTTAAACATATATCTTAACCTACAGTCAATGGTTAGTTTTTTGAAAATTTTTAGTATCTGCGTGCTTCTTTTGGTATTATCAAAGTATTTCCCCCCAAAATTTATTAATGTTAGACCCTCACATACCTCATGATATGGTCTAGGGTCCACGATTGGATGGCAGGAAGCAAAAGGCCCACTTGAATCAAGAAGAACACTACAGTGCCTCTCAGCAAACCTTTCTGGAAGGAAATTAAGGCACCCAAACATTGTATTTATAAGATCATAATTTTTAATTGAAAGACAAAGTGTAAATATTTAACAAAGTTTTGTCTTAAAGCAATTATATTTTTTAAAGTGTTTTGCTACAATAAATTGAATTTGTTATCATTATATTAAAAATAGCATGATAGAATCAGAACTGCTTTAAACCAAAGAGGCAAAATCTTTATTAGCTTTGGACTTTTGTATTAAATCTGCTAACCTTTTTCTGAAATGCAGTTTATATGCATAAATGGTAAAAGAGAACCAGATTATTTATTTAGGTGTCTTTTAATTTAAAATACACATTTATGTCTGTGTTGATAAGTTGGTAAATGAAACCACCACCACATCACTATCATTTCACCCCTGTCACCCAAGTGTACAGTTTCTTTAATAAGATGTAGATGTGGAGTTTGGTATAACTTTTAATATATTTGACAGCAGTTGCTGGGAGACCTGGATCTGGCTACAGCTCTATTGTTAAGTGGCTCAGCGGTTTGAGCCTTGCTATTTCAAGCAATGATCACTTCCACGACTCAATTAAAAGGAAAGAGTAATAAACCAAATAATCTGTAAAGTCTCTTCTAACCTTATTGTTCTATAACTATGGAGAAAACTGTATAAGAAAAGAAAAAATAGGTATAGAAAAAGACAACTAAGGTGACCCCCTAGTCTCCCATGAAAGATGTGTTTGCTAGAAATACCCTCAGCCAGACAGACTGTTCCTCTGACGTTGCCTCTAATAATGGGGCAGTAGGACAAACACTAGCAAAGACCAGATTTATCTGATAGCATCCTATCAGTACCAGAATAAGTACAGAATTCCTAGCACCTAATACTTAATCACGGAGTTTGGCATTTAATTAACATTACCTGTTTCTATACTGATGCATGAAGCTGGCGTTCCTTTAAGACAGGACATCATTTCCCAGGAATCGGCAAATGCCTGAGATGACTTCTCCAGTATATTCTGACTTGACATGAAATCATCCTCTGCTCTGTTGTTGTAGGAACCACAGAGCCCTGTATAAGAGCACAGGACCAAGTTTAACATCTCGTTACCTGCTCAACTTTTTGGACTCATNCAGGACCAAGTTTAACATCTCGTTACCTACTCAACTTTTTGGACTCATCTCCTCACTTCATATTCAGTTCTTTATTCAAACCAAAGCTGCAGAAGCTACTTAAGAGTATGTCTCGAATAGACTTTATACATGTTAGTAACCATGGGATTTGCTATAATTCTTTCTTGTTTCNTCTCCTCACTTCATATTCAGTTCTTTATTCAAACCAAAGCTGCAGAAGCTTCTTAAGAGTATGTCTCGATTAGACTTTATACATGTTAATAACCATGGGATTTGCTATAATTCTTTCTGTTTGNTGTTTCTTTTGTTTGACATCATTGACAGTATGTAAGAGCTGATTTCTACAGTAGGAAAAACCTCAGTGAAAGATCACCACGCGACCGATCAGCAGAAAAACAAGTTATAACGTAGCTTGTATTTGAAACGTGGTTTCAAAAGATTTATATCCGTAATACTTACATTTATTCTTTTACAGGTCATAACCTTCATAATACATATTAACAAATGATAGATAACGTAGTATCAAATAACACTATATTTGATGACTAAAAGCCTTAATTTAAACCTTAACATGTTTAAATTGTTGAGAACCACTTGGGAATAGATTTTTGTAATAAATAAAGTTGTACTTACTATAAAAAGCAAATTGGGCTTATTTTACTGAAATATGAAAAGGAAGATTAAGTAAAGATGCTTTGTGGTTTAATGCCATTAAGAGAGAGTTGAAAATTACAATAGATGATGGTCACATCAGAGCCTTGGAAATAAAAACATAGGCGGAGGACTTACCTACAGTGTCTGTGAATTGGTTGGGTGGCATGGAAACATACAGTTGCATCACAGGATCAATTTGTATTTGCATTTTTACATGAGAGTATGTTTCTACTTGATAGTATGAGAGAGATGCCTTGAATATCTGTACTTTGTCTGTTAAAATAATTAAATGATTATCAATATTAATAGCAATAATTAACATCTTAAAGTTTTCAATTTCTGGAAGTGATTTTATTCTTTAATATATGTTAAAACAGAACCATTTACTATCATTAAAACTTGAATAAATGAATACCTCTTACATTTATTTTTAAATGGTATTATTAAACTTACCTGAATAGTAATAATGTTGATTTCCAATCTTGTCATTTGTGACTGTTCCATCGCTATTGAATACATATTTGTCAACTGAACCAGACTAAAATTTAAAACACAGTGTTAGTTCATATTAATTTACAAAGTTATTTCAGTTTAATGCAATGTAATATGTAATAGATGTCATGAAAACAAGCTCAATTTTATTGGATTAATTTATAAGTATCTAAAATATAGAACATTTTTAAAGCGCCTTTAATTCATACGTTGCTTCGTTGTTTCTCATACCAACTATTTGAGGAAGATTGCAAAGGATTCTTCATCCCCAGTTTGCAGATGAGGAAACTAAGACCCTAGAAGGTAACTTGGCTTCCAATGGTCAAAAAGCCGGGAAGTGCCAAACGCCTGGCTAGCTGTTCTCCCCCCTCATGTAGGCCTATTTCCACTTAAAGTGTTAGTTTCTCATACATGAAATCCGAAAGAAATATAACTGCCTTCTTAAATGGTCCATAGTATTGAATAATTTTATGAGCACAGCAGGTTGATCTATAATTAGCCCATTAGTTGTTTATCTATGGTAATTTATATATAATATATAAGTATCCTGGGAACTATCCAGCTCTTCCAGAGACTTTACCAATTTTCTATATAATCTTACTTGTGTGTTTAATTTACATAGTAAACCCTCTTTTCTTCAACCTCAAAAATTCTGAATTTGTGAAGTAATTGATTTGGTTGTGCTCTGGATAAACATTAGGAAGCTGCTGACTTACCGAATTGAAGAGGAGTGTGACGCTTTTTAAGCACGTTCCTGACAGACCATTTGGACATGGACGGAGCTCCACACTGACAGACCAGTCTTTATCCTGTTAAAAAATGCATTTCATTTCAATGCTTATTAAAATGATATTGATTATACGTTATTACTACGTGATTCATTCACAGTGCATGTTTGCATTTTATTTTTTACTTAAACTTATTGGGGTAACATTGGTTAATAACATTATACAAGTTTCAGGCATACAACTTTAGAAACCACCCTCTCTATATCCCATTGTGTGCTCACCACCCCAAATCGAGTCCCCTTTTGTCACCACAGTGCCTCTGTGCGATCATTCTGCTCTGAAGATAGAAACCGACTTCCGTCCACGGCAGAGTCTAAAATCGGCCAAGAGCTTTACAGATTGTCCTAGCATCTTCCATCAGCTCTATTTATGTAGTCTATGATTGGTGGTTTTTCGTAGTCATTATTTTTTTTTCCCTTTATCTTTTCCTTTTATCTTTACTTTTTAATCTTCTCCTCCAAGGGAATAGTGCTGCATTATAGAGACTAACGGGAATTAGAGGAGGCCTAGAGATTCATTCTCTGGACAACCCACAATGTCTATTGAAATCCACTGTGAGAGATAATTTGTAAAACTGTAATATAATTCATGCCGAACATTGACTTCCGGTTCTCCTTTTAAGATCTAGGAATCACTGAACTATAAGAAGCAAATATTCCATATGCTCTGCAGTATTTCCCTCTCACTTGGCCCATCCCATATCCTCACGGATCCCCTGAGGATCACAAAAGAAGGAGAGAAAATTTGGAAAACTGATTTTTAGCAGCAGCAAACTACATTTCTCAGATTGCTGAACATTGACCCACATCTCTCCCTTCAGGAATCACAAATCCTGCTCATCTTTGTTTCCTACCAGGAAGGCTAAATAATATAATTTGTCCTCATGCTAGCAGAAGGCACAGGCTACAAAATGGAATCACTCCTCTTAATAAAACTCAAATTACTTAAAATTTTAATACTGAAAAGAATTTAAATATAAGGACAGCCTCTATCATACTATTAATATTGTATCATAAAAACTAAAAATAAATGTAAAAGAATAAGGATGAAAGAGAGAGAGATGCTTCATAGAATATAAAAAGTTTCATTGGAGACACTAGTGAACACATGCAAAGAAAAGTAGAACAACAATTTCCCAGTGTATTTAGAAAATTATTAGTGATGAAAGGGGCTTTTTTTTTTTAAGCAGGAATTTCTAAAGGACACAGGTAATACTGGTTGTCAGTGTCAATATGGGATAGCAAACAGATACTGAAATATATAACCAGTACTTGAAAGACTGTTTGTTGTTTGTTTATTTATTTATTTATTTATTTATTTATTTATTTTAAACTATATCTTTATTGATTTCAGAGAGAAGAAGGGGGGAGAGAGAGGGATAGGAACACCAATGGTGAGAAAGTCATTGATCATTGATCCACTGCTTCCTGCACACCCCTCATTGGGATCGAGCCCGCAACCCAGGCATGTGCCCTGACCAGGACTTGAACCAAGATCTCCTGGATCCTAGGTCGATGCTCAACTGCTGAGCCACGCCCAGCTGGGCTGTTTTATTTTTTTTAAATAGTAATTGAAGGTGAAGATTGTGCTTCATATTAGTTAAAAAATAGCTCGGTGCCTGTATCAGTTTTCTCAAGTGTTTGAGGTTATTACATACGTGGATAGCCAAAAAGTGACAGTTTCCAGGATGGTTATATTTTTCCCCATCAAAGGTGGTAATTGAACTTCCTTCCACCTTACATCTCCCAGGACACATAGCTTCAGTGCAAGACCACTTGGCTTCCTGGCATGTGCTGTAAAATGGTTACATTAAAAGTAAAATGGTTACATTAAAGGTCATCAATCGTGTTTTTAAAAGATCACAACTTATACTAAGACATTTAGTTAAGCCTTATTAGACTGTGTGCATTCCCCCACCCAACATTTCAGCTCTGACAAAATGCCTCTTTGATGGTGGTATCCTGGTGTTTTAAAAGACATGAATTCCATTGAATAAAATGATAGCATCTGCCTGCATTAAACATATAAAAACTTGTACACTGGATTTCAGGGGTTTGTTTAAATGGAACATATTTCACCATTAGTATTAAAACACTTGCACCATGCCACATTGTAGACCTGCATTGCTGAATACACTGCAGCGTCACACAGCTATTGATTATTTGAAATGTGGCTGGTCCACATTGAGATCAGCTTTAAATGAAAAATACACACAGACTTTGAAGACAATATGAAAAAACTGTTAAATCTGTTCTTAACTTTTTACACTAATTTATATTGAAATGATAATATTGTGGATATATAAAATATAGGATTAAAATCAAGTCCACATGTTTGTTTCTTTTTGCTTTTTTAAAAATGTGGCATCTAAAAAGAGTTACCTATGTGGGTGATATTTGTGACTCACATATTTCTCTCGGACAGCATTTTTGCAGATATTTACTAAATAATAGCTATTGTTTTCATAATTATGATCAATAAATTATTACATACCAATAAAACATTTTCTATTTATAGGGAAAATATTATAGTATAAAAATCAGATTGGTTTTCATTGAGTCAAATTATTTTCCCAGAAGGACATTATGTATTTCTAGAAAAGTCCTTTGGAGTTCTGCAGAAACATGGAGTTTCAGAGAAAAGCAATAATAAGGAATGGGAAAGGCTCTCTGGTCAGCAAATTATTGCTGCACTCACAAGGAAAAGTCAAGCTAACTATTCAAAGAGAAATCATCTACACTTACTTTTGGCACATTAAAATCCACTCCAGATTAAGTTAATCTTCACCAATGTAGCCTCATATTCACTTGTTTGAAAAGTGTTAGGTTCTTCCTGATTGTACATTTTATTAAATATTCTGGGAATTAGTATAATCACTGTTTCATTATTGTAACCACACTCTTGTATTATATTCTTTGCTCTAATATTTGCAACCACTAACTGGATCACTATTCAAAACACTATTTCAGTTAGTGAAAAATGTTATCTTTTTAACATTTTATTGATTTGAGAGAGAGAGGAAGGGAGAGGGAGATAAAGAAACATCAATGAGAGAGAAACATCCATCGGCCGCCTCTTGCATGCCCCCTACTGGGCATCAAGCCCACAGCCTGGCCTGTGCTCTGACCAAGAATTGAACCAGTGACTTCTTGGTGCCTGGGGTGATGCTCAACTAACTGAGCCACACAGACTGGGCAAAAAATATTATCTTTAAAAGATACATAGAAAGCTCGTATATGTTATACAAATAACATACTAAGCATTCCTGGAAGAAAAAAAAAAAAAAGCTAAAATATCAACACAGAAAATCCAATGAGGCTACAAAATGTATTTTAAAGGTGGATTTAGTGATTATTTCCAATTAGATTAAAATATTAGTATTTTTTCACTATCAACAAAATGTGGACAAGAAGCACACACATACCACTGAGAATCACAGGGACCTTCTCGGACTTCTCCTGACAGATAGACTTTTCCATTAGACTCACAGGGACATTCCGCCTTTAATACACATCTTCCTTTCTCTCCAATATCGTCCAATAGATAACCTAGAACACATTATAGAAGACTAATCTCAAAACTATATGAACATCACTAAATTCTCAAGCAGTGTATTTTGAAATAACTGTTGAGCTAGTACTTTTAAGCGAGAACATCCACTTAAAACAGGAATTTATATTGAAGCGGTTACTCCTTTGAGAACTAGGGAGCATATTGTTTTCTGAACCTCGGAGCATCCTACTGAGGCGAATGTAGAGCCAGAGGATTATCTGCAGGGTGTTACAGCCCTCGGGTACCCTGAGGCGGAAATGTACATTAACGCCGTCTGCACTTTGTTAGAAGGCTGGGTTGTGAATGGGTGAGTTCGTTAATGACCTCCTTAGAGATAAGACCCCACTAGAGCTGAGTCCCTTCTTTTTCAGTTCCCTCAGTGTAAAGAGTGTTACCTTCTGGGCAGGAGCAGCCACTCACACACTCATTGTCCTGGAAAGGAGCCACATTAGAACAAGTCGCAGGATTGGAGAGGCCGCATTCCCGGTAGATTTGTTTTTCTGGGCATGTAGGTTTCTCTAGAGAAATAAAGAAATACATATACATGAAAATTTAATGTGGTAAATACATCATATTCTAATGAGGATCCTTTCAAATGGGATTCCTTGAGCCTAATTTTAAAGATATGTCTTTAAAGATACTCATTGCAATCATGTTATGCCAATTGGCCATGCTTTATTTCACAATACAAGATTTAATATGGAGGAAATGTATACTGTACATATCATTTCATCTTACTCTGTATTCTTTTTTTTTAAATTTAACTTTTTTGTTGAAAATATTACAGATGTCCCCTTTTTTCCCCATTACCCCCTTCCCNAAAATATTACAGATGTCCCCTTTTTTCCCCATTAACCCCTTCCACCCCCCAGCCACTTCCCACCCCAGGCCTCCATCATTCTATTGTCTGTATCCATGGGTTATGTATATATGCATATAAATTCTTGGGTAATCTCTCTCCACCCACCTCCTAACTTATAAGGATTGAGCTAATCATAAGTGGAAAGTATTTATATGAAGCTCATATTTATGTTTTATTCATCTTTTTGAAAGAAAACCATAATACTAATCAAAATACTTTTGATAACATTTCTAGTATTTTTAGAGTTTTTATAAAATTTTACTCACTTTTCCCAGGGAATTTTACTTATAAAGATTACAAAGTTCCTAATTAAGATCTTAACACAAAGCACTGCACCTTGTCACTAGTCACTTCACCTAAGGGGCCTCAGTGCCCTCGTAAGTACATGTGAGGACAAGACTCTACCATCTCTAAGATGCTTTCCAGGCCTTACACTCATCTGAGAAGGTCACTATGAAACACAGCTCAACTTTAAAGTACTATACAGGGGTTGTCAAAAGTAGGTTTACTGTCCTTCATATGGAAAATAATACAATAGTTAATAAACAATAATACAAGAATAAACTCTGTGTTTCATGTACTCACAACTGCAAACCTACTTTTTGTCCACCCCTGTTTAAACTCCCCGATTTGTGATCTACAATAAAATGAAGAAACCTACCGCAAACCACATCAGGATCGTCTCGCCAGGATTCATAGGTGCCGGGACCATCTGAGGCACAAAGGCGGGACAATTCTGAATAAGTGTCACATGTCGAATTTTTATGTCCATTTTGGCAGTACTCATCAATGCAGACCATTTTGTAATCACTAGATAAATCAGCAACCTTTTCACATTTCTCAAAGTAGGTTCCAATAATTTTGTTACAGTACTGCAAAATAAAAGGTTTAATCAAACATAAAAAATGGGAAAATGAATGTTTAGGAAGAGTTCAATTCAGAAGTATATTTTTTGCATAATACCCTGTAGCTTTGGCAGGGAGAGTTGTTGGATTCTGGTGAAAATGAAGAGTTTTGAAATATTATAGTTGCTACAGTTACTCCTGAAAGAATACTTCATTTCTGGCATTTGGATTGCTATAAAACAACTTCAAAAATAGTACCCCAATTCACTCAAAATTTCTCTAAAGGTCACAGAGCTCAAGGAAGTGGAAGATATGAGAAAAGGAGAGGTTGGTCGATATCAGAAATTGGATGGTAAATGATTGATATCAGATAGACAAGGGATATTTTCTGCCCTTTAACTGTTAGCCCACTTATATTTGATGAGCAAACAGATGACAGTAAAATACTGTGACTCTATTTTCTTGCTGTGGGCCATGTGAGTTTGCTCTGGAAACACCTATTTATTCTCCTGTTGGTTAAGGAAGTAAAGACATATTAATTAATCAAAAAAGTTTAAATTTCAATATATTTTAACTACCACATAACTGTCTTCTATTTTGACCATTTATTTTTTCAGGAAATGTGAAAGCTATTGCCAAACAAATGCACAACTTGCATCAAGTAAGCCCTAGGACAGCTGATAATATTCTCCAAGTGAGGTGTAAAATAAAGCGAAATAAACCTTCACAGATTGTTTTTTCATCTATTGTGCTTTGTGTATCTTTTTCACTAGATTATAGGTCTCTTTACAGCAAGAAATATAACCTTGAATCCTGTAGGTTTAATACAATGTCTTGCACGTAGTAGGTCTTTATGAAGTATTCGTTTGCTTTAACATAAATTTATGTAAGCATTCAACTAACATTTTTAAACAACAGGAGTAACTTTCACACAGTATGCAACTACCACAACAGATAAGACATTATCACAGAACTCATACATAATTTTATAGAAAACATATAAGAAAAACATGTGAAATTATTACAGATAGTGTCTTATCGTAAGTACCAAGAAGCGGCGTAGGGTAACAAAGGAAAGAGAAGGCATTCTAACTGCGAATGTCAAGGAGGGTTTCACAAGGAAGAGAGTAAATGATCTTGTATAATGTCATGGCTTAATTTGATTTGATAAAAGATGACAAGATGGTTACAAGTGCAACGCCCATTGTCAATAACACAAAAATCTCTTCTATCTCTTGATCTTGAGAATTTTGTTCTAGATTGAAACAGGAATATGTGAACATTCATTCAGTCATCAAATGACTCTATCAAGTTCAACATAACAGAGTTACACATGGTTGGAAAATTCAGAGTAAATGACTACTTTCAAGTGTTGTGGTCAAAAAGATTGCCTGTAACTTTTGCAAAAAAAAAAGTTAAAGGATGCGAAGGATGACAATTCAGATGAGCTATCTGGGGCAAAAGTAAGAACGCAAGAGTGGAAACTAGTTCCTAGGGACACATTACATGGATTTCTAAACTTAAGAGCCAAGTTAGCACCCGTGAAGAGGTCATAAAGCAGAGGTGAAAAGTGTCAACCTACAGTCAAATTAAAACACCCTGAAAAGGAAATCAGAATTGTCACACTAATACACAGTTAATATCATAGTGTTTTAGGGAAAAGCTTATTTTAGCATCTATAGTTAAACTAAAGCTGAGAAAGAGACTACAGGGACATGGAGGGGAAGCACGCGCAGAATTCTCAGAGTAAGATGTGAGTGCTGAGAAAGGAGGCTGGCTATCTACAGTGAAACCAAGGGGAATGTTGCAGAAATTTGCTACTAGATGAAACATTAATTTCTTACCTGTACTCCATCTTCACAAGTTTCATAGGTTTTACTAACAGCTTCAGGACAACTACCAGGAATTTTACTACTGGCAATGTGCTCATTGATATCTTCTCCTTAAAAAGAAAGCAACGTTTGGTTCACAATATGCAATACATCTACAGGTTATCTTCAAGCTAAACATAGACTTGACAACAATATAGGCGCATATTTATTTTAACAATTTTTCATTCTTTAGACAAATGCAAATTGTTGTTAGATTTATCTAAATACGAGCAATTACTTTATAATTTTCTTTTGGGAAGTAATTTTCTTGTACACAATACATTGAAATCTTACCTGGAGTGTTGTTGAAATTACCACAGAGACCGCAAGTTGGATATTGTTTGTGAAGAGTGAGCTGTAAAAGAAATTTACATGTACATATTTACAAAATATTGAAAAGATCCCAAGACAAGATTACCCCAAACCAAAGAACACCGCTCCTCCTATTTTATTCTACCTAAGCTGGTTCCTTAGCGGTGTACTACCAGGTTTTGTTTCTTCTAAGGACCTGGCTTTAGAATTTGGAATAAGTCCTGACTCCACCATTTACTATGTGTCTTTGAACAGGTTATTTAACTTTCATTAGACTGAATCTCCTGAATTCCATCATCTTTAAGATAAGAATAATAATAGTATGTACTTCAAGATGTTTTAAGATGTTTTAAATATTAAAATAGTGGTTAGTATAGTGACAAGTACATAAAGATTTCTCATTAAACTTTAGCTCTGATTTCCTTATTATGTATTTTTTTTATAACTAAAAGCAAAGAACAAAAAGCACAGGAGGTAAGAAAATCACAGATAAACTTACTGAGAGTTTGTTATTTTTGTCCCACATTAAAGACAAGATTCCTCTACGGCTGTTTAGGACATTATATTCTCCGTATTTTTTAATGTGAATCAGCTTATTGTTATATGGTATCTGTACACTGAAAAGCATAAAACACAAGTACAGATAAATGTAAGGAGTATTATTATAACATATTAATCTGATAATTCATTTTTCTATATTTAGAAATGCTGTCTAGTAATTGTTAAAGTTTTCTTTTTTATCATTTCAGAAGAAGAGGTCTAATGGCTCTTTTCCCAATATTGGAAAGGCTTTTAAGGAACAGTGAATAAATCTTTGAGACTTTGGAGTAATTAACAATTACAACAACAACAAGAGTGGTTCAGTATAAGAAAATAATGAAATAATTTGAAATTCTCACAAGCAGAGTAACACATCATATTTTATTATCTTGGTAAGTATTTGAATATGCTACCCTTCCAAATATAAATTGCTTTGTCTGAAAATCATGGCCTAAAGGCTTAAATTTATTGTAAAACCTCAAATTTATATTTAGTGTTAAACATACAAATGAAAATGGAAATATCCTTTTAACAGCTTTGCTGAATATGTATGTTGCCCAAAATCAAGATACTCAAAATAGTCAAACAACGGGCTTCTTTTTTCCCAACCCTATTATAGAAATAAATGTATCTTATGATCCCACATATATATGTCTTATATAGTCACTAAACTCCTTTCCAAGAATTTATTAAAAATATCAACATATTTCAAAATAGTAAAGAGAGTAACATATAACATCTCTCACCATCTCTTCCCCATTCAACCTTTTTTTTCCTTTTGCTCAGGTTACTTCAAATAATTCTACAGCATTTATCCAAACACTATGGCACTTACCTTTCTTCATTCACTAAAATGGTATCCCCAGATATAAAGATGTCATTATTGTCAATCACAACCATTATTTTTTCAATCTCATTATCATTGTTTCGTTTGATCTCAATATTGAAATCTCCAGGTTCAACGCAGTGTCGGCAGAAAGTGTACGTGCACGGTGACTCGAAGGAAAAGATGCGGCCGTTGAAAGCTTTGTACGCTCCTTTGTCCCAAGTAGAAGCTTCACCTAGAAGATATTTACAGTAGAATATTCATAAGTATTCAGAACAATTAATGTACTAGCTAGTTCTGTTTTTTTTAAAGTGTTTATGTACCAAGATAAGAAAAAAATCGCTGAAAGATTCTATTTTCACAGCCACCAGCTTCATTCAGCACTTTTCTTTCTCACATATTGCAAAAACACACCAAAAGTAATACCTGAGTCCTTGGAAGTACCCAAATCTGGCTATCTGGCTAAAACAAATCATGAATAAAAACATCTTGTTTCCAGTGGGAAAGGGAAAATGTCTCTACTATGGGGAAGAATCTATGGAGGGAAGTTGTGGTCTGTTTAATTGTTTTGCTTTTTGTACAGATAGTCTTTCTAATGTTGCCTGAGTAGGTTACCATTTATATCAAATGAGTGCAAAGAATTCTATTATTTCTTCCTATACATATATATGCACATGTACATACGTATGTATTATGTATTATGTAATATGTATTATGTATTATGTAATATGAGAAACACATAAGATATTATTGATTTACTAGGAATATATATGTGTTACATGTGCATAAATACGTATGTGTATGTGGTGTGTTTGTATGTATCTTTGAGAAAAAATAGTACCAATGTGATGTCATTCAAACATACACTAATTAAATAGATAGATATTGGCAAATTGGTTATTTTCTAACCTCATTAGTTACTGACTAGCTGGGCATAAAAATATGGATAAGAATCACAATAATTTTTACTTACCAATAACTGCACTTGTTTCTGAGTATTTTGGAGTTGCTTCCGGAATATGGGATCCTTTTTCTATTCAACATAATGCATAGATTATTTAAATTTCAAGACACATATTGCTTTAAAATATACAGGATATTGAACATCTACATGGGAATTTAGAATTTGGTACTGAAAGCCATAAATGGGGTTTGCTTTATCCCGAATATATAATTTTATTTTGTGAGAGCTGTGACTTGCCAAGGTCATATACATGATTATCTCTGAAGTCCATATTTTTTCTTGGAATAATCAGCCATAGTAGGTTCAGAACTCATTAAGAGCTTATTCATTTTGGGTCATCTACAACTACCAACATATGTTCCTTCCCTAACAGAACTATTTTTTCAATTACAAATTTTAATGGGCCATTGCCCAAACAGGCCCAAGGTAGATTTCATTAAACCAGTCTGCTATATAATACTAATAATTCAATTATGTATATAAAGAAAAATTAATTTTCCTGATCAAAGGGAAAAATCTGTATACCTTGAAATTTAAGTTTCCCATGATTACTTATTTCTAAGGCACTGACTCTTTTATTAAACCAAGTAAATTTATAAGAAATCTTACAGCAAGGTAAAAAAGCAAGCAGAAAGAATAAAACAACAATAATAAAAAAGTAAATATTTTCATATAAATTTAAAACTATTTTTTGCAATGCTCTTTATTGTGTATCTTGAAGCCACTTCTCTTTACAACAAGATGCCTTTACTAAGGTTGAGTGAAAATAGATTTAACTCTTTATTTAAAAAGTAATTTTAAAATAATATATCTAAAATGATAAAGAAGTTGCACTATATTTTATTCAGGTTGCCTTAAAATATAATTTACTCTGTTTTATTCATGAAACTGTTTCAAATATGCAGTTGGTCATCTAAATTTTAGGGCTTAGAGAAGAAACACTTAGAAGCTCAATTCAATATGAGAAACACGTAAGATATTATTGATTTACCTGGAGTGCTGGAAGGTGCAGTGGTACTGTGGTCAGATGAGCTTGTGACACCTGTTGAATACAAAATTATTAGGCTGTTTCTGTGTTACTTTGACTTGGTAAAATATGAAAAGAGGTTTTAAAATCTGATGGAAAACCATAGGTCCAAGTTCAGCAATGCCAATACAAGCAGACTTAAAACCATGTGAAGCTATATAAGAAAATATATAAAGGGTGTCCCAGAAAAATGAATGCACAATTTAACAGTAGGTTCTATTACATTTTGAAAATGAAATGTATTTTAGTAAACATTGCCTTTATAATTATTCAAAGTGTGTATACGTTTTTGGATCATCCTGTATATGTAGTATTATCAACTGAATAACCTGCTGAAGTAACACAATGAAAGTCCTTGCTATTAAATAGACTGACACAAAATTAATTTATTCCAGATCAATTGCTTTAAAACTTATTCAGGAAAAGAGGTGAGGACTGCAGAAGCAAAGTTCCAGGTCTCCTATCCCAAATGCAATCAAACTTACTCCCACTTTAAATTGTTCTACATTTGGGAAATCTAGGTAATCTTTCAAAGTGTCAATTGAAACACAGGATTGAACAAAGGATTCTGCTTTCCTAAAAACTGGAAGTATGAAAACCAGTAATCTAGATAAACAGAGATATTCATCTCAAGATGTATAATGTCAAGAGAACCAGAACCTGCCATTTCAAAGCTACTAGATTTACTGCTATTAGATACACTAATCAAGAAAAGTCTGCCTGATTTAGAAAAATGAAAACAGTCAAAAGCTGACTTCCAACAAGCAGAAAAATCTCAAATCAGTAATTACTTCACCATAAAAAGATAAGAGGCAACTACTTCTTGGTACATTTCTCAGGAAGAAAACCTGAATTTGAATAACGGAGCTAATGGCAGCAGATGTGGGCTTCAGAAATTCAGTGCCCCGTAAACCATTAGCACCAACTGTGCCCAAACAAAATCAGTGGCAATAAATAATGGGTGATTTAAGATTTCTCAGTTGACCTCAAAATTGATGTCCAAAACTTAAGAACAACCCCGAATAATTATTGTCTCTGTATGGCCAAGCCTTTTTTGAACAGATTGATTGATGGCCAATTCTGACTGACGTCAACCATTACTACAGTACACTGTATCTATTACTAATTAGACTTCGCTAAAATAAAAGCATTTATCCTAAATTTGAGTTATAAATATGAATCCTGAGTAATTTTCAGAGCACCAGTGTCATTAGAAGCAGATCCCCTACCCGTAGTTCTGTGGTCATCTAGTCTAGTGGCTCTCAAGACTTCCCATGTTTATTATGATATGGGCACTATTTTGATGCTGCTAGAATCAAAATAGTGCCCATATCATAATAAAGATCATTTTAACAATGTGTATCACAAATCCTGAGACTATTAAATCTGATGGTTCCATTAAGTGGAAATATCAAATTTTATCAGAATTTCAAAGAGCACCTTAAGCCACTAAGACCAGAGTCATGATACAAAACAAAGCTCAAGGCCAACAAATAAGCTGCTACTTGAAGCACCTCTTTAATTTATGCATAAACTTACGCATAAATGCAATAAAAACAATTCCACCTCAATACATTCACAGCCACAGAATTAGTTCTGCATCCTATGCCAACAAATATTAAATTACTTTTGTTTTATTGTACCTAAATACATTTTATTCTTTCAGGATTTTGGCTTGTTTTTTACATCACTATTAATCATGTTTATAGTGTTCACTGTTACTTTAGACTATATGCTAGAATCCTGACTTTCTAATCATCAGAAATAAATCTCAAATTCCCAAGCCATGGGAACCAGATCCAGTAAGACCCTTTCCAATATCACAGGTACTGGCACCACTAAGGCCAGTGTCAACAAATGCGTTTTGGTCCAGCAGCACCAACATCAAGTCCAACTGTACCCTCCCTTCCTTCACCAGTTTCAGAACCAGAAGACGAAATCCAGTCCCCTCCCAATGGAAAATCAAAAGAAATAAAGAAGAAAGAAATTAACTTGGATTTCTTAGGAATAGAGTCCAGGTTAGGACACCTGAGTCACTGGCATCAGATCCAGGATTCAAGTCTTCCGACTCAGCAGATCTGCTGCCCTTCTTTCCATACTTACCAGTTTCACTGGCTCCAGATTCCTGTTGATCAGGTGACCCTGAACTGAATCCTGAATCTTCAGATTCAGCTCCATTGCTTGCATTTGAGCCACCTGCTGAATACAAAATGGTGGTCACAAAAGTTACTTTCGGTGCGTACCACGGTTGAGAATTGTTCTATGCACAGAGATTAACTATCCAGACCTAGAGCACTGAAACTAGAGTCTCCAGAGCCAACGACTTCATTTCCATCAAACTCTGTACCACTATGGCCTTTGTCACCAAAACTGTTTGAACCAGAATCTCCAAGACCAAATTCAGTTTTTGCCTTTCTTTTCTGCATTTCCAAAGTTATAAAACCAGGCCCTTCCCTCTAACGGAAAGATAAAATGTTATTTTTTCAAAAAACGATGAAAATTTATCACAGAAGGAGTCCAGGTTGGTAGAATGCCTGAGTCATGGGCATTGGACCTGAGATTCATGGGTCCAGGCCCAACAGACACGCTGCTGCCGATTCCATCAATCCCCTGCCTCCAAATTCCTTCTCACCAAATGCCCAATCACCAAATCCTGAATATCCAAAATTATCACTAGCATGTTCACTCCCACTTCTTGCACTGGTACTTCTCCCAGAATATTAAAAGTTTGTCACAAAAACATACTTAATAGATTTTATTACTTGGAAACTTGTCCCCAAATGTCTTTCTTTTGAGTCCAAAATCTAAAGACCCAGCCTTCCATGAACAGAAAAAAATCAAAATATTGTTAAATGAAATAATGAATATTTGAAACCCAGCCGGATTTCTCAGGAACTGAGACTGGGTAGAATACCTGAGCTACTGGCATCAGATCAGGGTCTTTGTACTCAGCCCCAACAGATTTACTGCTAGTCATTTTATCGTTTCCAGAGCTATCACCAACATATGTACCACCGCTTCTCCAACTGGTATCATCAATCAACTGATGATACCAGTTGGAGAATATAAAATGATTGTCACAGAGTATATTGAAAACATTTTAGGATTCAGAAATTTCTATGCACAAAAATGAGATATCAATACCTAGGTCATAAGAAATAGATTCTCCCAAACTACCCACTTGATTTCCTTCAACTGCTTTGCTATTATGGCCACTGTCACCAAATGAACTTGAACCAGAAGCTCCAAAATAAATACAGCATTGCCTGTCCTTGATCCAGGTCCCCAACCAAAAGACCCAGTTACAACTGATGGAAAAATCAAGATGTTATTAAAAATCAAACCTGGTCAATCAATTACTTTGTTTTTAAATGTTAAAGTATTTTAAACCAATTAGCTAATTTAATTCATTTTAAATTTTCTGGAATGAATCTTAGTTGGAATACCTAAGCTAGGGGCATCCTATCCAAAACCAGTGGATTCACTCCCAGTGGATTCTCTGCTGCTCATTTCACTCCAGTAAACTCTACTGATTCCTAATTCTTTTTGGCTAGCTGTCACCAAACCAAATAAAAAATTTCCAGAGGCACAAATATAAATCCAGCCCATCATGTTGTGTTGATGCTATCTGCTAAATTAAAAAAGTAATTATGACCAGGAAATATTTAAATACAACTTATAACTCTACTTTTTATGCACAAAACCTGGAGCCTGATTTTCAGGTGTTCCCTATTTCATTTTAACCAAAGCCATTTGTTCAAGACCACTGATGCCAACTGCACATGAGCCAGAATTACCAAGACCAAATGCAAATTCACCCTTCTTTTACCAACAAGTCCAAAATAAAAAGACAAATGAAAAATTAAGCTGTTATCAGGAGCAATAAGCAAAGGATGTAAATTATTTGTATTTTTTAATAGAATCTGGATCATAATTCCTGAGCCACTGACATGGGAGCCAAAGCCCATGGATTTACCAACAAACTTTCTACTGTTCTTTCCATTTCCACCAATCTCCATATCTTTTAAGATAAGTAGCTCTGGCTTAAAAATACCTAGATTTACTGTACTTTATTGATCCACACTTCTTTCACTGGCTTCAATTTTTTAATATAAATTTCTATTTATCCACACTATTGTAAATCTACTTTTTACTGAAATTTATTTTTCAAAAATATGAGTAATAGAATTTATGAAGTTCTAGTGTAATATAACTTATAAAGCATTGCAAAAGTCATAGAAACATGAGACTAAAATGTTTCTGTCCTTATGACAAAACTTGGGAACAAGAGATTTTAAGTGGCTTTCCCAAAGCCCACAGTTTAGTGGAAATACTGAGATAGAAACTGGATATTTTCCTTCCAGGTCCAAGTTCCTTCAGTAAAGCATTAAATCTATTTGCCTTTTTATTAAAATGTTTAAATTGCTGTTGGCGATAACACAGAACCTTTCAGGATCAAACATAGCTTAAAAATCTTTCCCATGAGTTCCTCTAACAATAAGTCTGTATTTGTAAAAAACACCACCAATTCCTGCTTTGTTAATTGATGATTTTCTGCCAAAAGAAGAAACTAAGAAAAAACTTAGAATACCTGTCTCATTGGCAGCAGAATTAGAGCCAGCATTCTCAGCAGATCCACCTGGGCCAGATGAATCCTTACCAACTTCATTCTGATTTGAATCAGTTTCACTAAAATCCGTATCACCAGAGGCACTGTTGTCAGGATCACTTGCTGCATTGGTTTTCTCTTCTACCATGCAAAAATACAGTCATTAGCAGAGAAAAGTCACATTCATTCATACTGTTCAAGTAGTTGTACCATACATATTGCTTGAACTAGGACTGTGTTTCAGATGTCTATTCCCACTCCTCTCCATGTATCTTTCCATATATACTTCCACACTGCGTAATCACCCGGGGGGAGGGGAGGGTGGCAACCAGTTTACCATGAGGTTTGATAGAATTCATAAGTTTCATTGTGTTCTGAATTAGAGGAACAAACAATTAAACATCTCATTGTCATGAACAAGAGCTAATGATTAGAAGTTATGCTAAGTTTGTCAATTCTAAAATAGATGACAGGACAGACAGGAAACTGTGTCCTTGAAAATATCTCAACTGCACCCCTACACCCAAAGCTGTTTCTCTCTTTTCAGTTATCACCAACTGAGCTAAAATATTAAATTTTAAGATAGAATATTGAAGTTCTTTTCCTCACTGATTCTCCTTCTTTTCCCATTTTTGTAGAGATATGAAATATAGATATTTCAGGGACCAGGCAGGTAAAGCAAAGTTTGAATCAGCCAATAAAGAGTAGCATATTGAACCAGAGAGGACAACACTAACCTAAAGAAATTTAATTTTTTTGCAAACAAAATAAAATCACTAGGCTACAAACTGTTTAGAAACCCCACTTTATGATATCACTCAGCAAATTGACTATGAAAGTTAAAGAGAAAATCCTGGTACAGAAAATGAATTGTAGTTGTAGACAGAAACACGAATAGAGAGACCAAATTAGGGTCTGGGGAGAATTTTAAATTAGTAATTTATGCATTAGAAAAATGACTGATCATCAATAATAATACTAAATGTAAAGATAACAGAAGAAAATATAAAGTATCAGGAAAAAAATTAGTTTAATACAAAAATCTTTGCCAAAATTCTCTAAAGATGGACTTCATCACTTTCAATGACACAGGAATTATTGACTTTATTACTACTCCACTACTAATTACTATTAAGGCATGTACTATAAATAAAACAAAGATTATCAGATTCTCCCAAATGAAAAAGAAGCACTTGTTTCTTAGGTGAACATTTTTCTCTAACAGTACCTGCTGGGGTGTCCTCTAGCTCTAAACTCTCAGTATCCCGACGTTGTCTCCGCCTGTGTTTAGCCATTCCTAGAGAACCATTTTCAGCGTCAACGAATGGAGCCGAATGAGATCTCTTTCTTCTGTTTGAGTCATCAAAGGATGAACCTCCAACTAGTAAGTCACCTAATGTGAGTAACAGGACATTTTATTTCACAACAGTATTGCTAGCACAATTAAGGTGGTTGGATGTGACACTATGAAAAGTAGTATTTTAGTTTGTATCAGCCTAGTTTTTCTGGCAGCACTTGAAACAACATAAACAACTGATTGACCTAATTGCAATATCCACATCTTTTTGTCTTAGTTCTAAGACTTTAAGAAAGAGGAATACAATGGTGATGGAAGCAGACTTCACATGGGGTAGTGAACACACAATACAATATATAGATGATGTATTATAGACTTGTACCCCTGAAACTTTTATAATTATTAACCAATGTCACCCCAAATAAATTCAATTTAAAAAGAAGATGAATAGAGCTGGGAAGATGGTACTGATGTGTCCTAGAAATTTTTTTGTGGACAGGGCAGAGACTTCCCCACCTGCTTCCTTCTCCATTGCTAAGCTCCATGTTTCAGTATCCAACCTTCCCCATCAAAATATTATGCTGTGTTGAATCAACACTATCCTTGGCTTAGTAACAGCTAATAATGTTAAGATAACATACCTGTTTCTCTTTTCCTTATATCTGCAAAGAAAAAAAAGATGAAAATGTTTACTCATAAATTAATGGTAGCATTCACCTCTTCAAGTCTTAGCTGAAAAGTCATCTCAATGAGGCATAGTCTGATGATTTGAAATTGCAACCCCACCCTTATTCTAACATTCTCAATTATTATTGCATTACTCTAATTTATTCCAAGATGTTATCACCTTGTCATATACCATGTTACTAGTTCTAATGTTTATATTTTATTGATTGTCTTCTTCTACATTTTTTTGGGCCATTTTCTTATATTTTTTTAAATGTATCTTTATTGTTGAAAGTATTACAGATGTCCCTTTTCTTGCCCCCATTGATCCCCTAAACCCCGCTTCAGCCCACCCCAGGCCTTCACCACACTATAGTCTGTGTCCATGGATTATGCATATATGCATATAAGTTCTTTGATTAATCTTTCCCCACCTACTCCCCCACCCCTGCCTTCCCACTGAGATTCATCAGTCTGTTCCATGCTTCTGTGTCTGGATCTATATTCTTCAGTCTGTTTTGTTTCTTAGATTCCACATCTGAGTGAGCTTATGTAAAACTAAGTCAGGAAGAAGCAGAAAACCAGAATAGGCCAATAACAACTAATGAAATCGAAGCAGTAATAAAGAACTCCCAGCAAACAAAAGCCCTGGTCCAGATGGCTTCACGGGGGAGCTTTCTAACTCTTTAACTTGTAGGGTTAGATAGTTTATTAAAAATGTTTCTTATTTTTTGAGGTAGGCATGTAGTGCTATGAACTTCCCTCTCAAGACTGCTTTCACTGTGTCCCATAGATTTTTGGGTTGTGTGTTCATTTTCATTTGTTTCCTGGAAGTTTTTTATTTCTTCCTTGATCTCATTGGTAACCCATTCATTATTTAATAACATGATATTTAGCCTCCATGTTTTTGAATGTTTTTGAGTGTTTTTAGTGTAGTTGATTTCTAATTTCATGCCATTGTGATCTGAGATGCTTGATACGAATAACATGTGGTCTATTTTTGAGAATGATCCATGTGCACTTGAGAGTAATGTATATTCTGCAGCTTTGGGGTGAAATGTTCTATAAATGTCAAATCCATCTGATCTAGTGTGCCTTCATTTTGAAGCCTATTTTGTCTGATATGAGTATTGCTATCCCAGCTTTTTTTTTCAATTTCCATGCAAATATTTTTTCCATCCCTTCACTCTCATCCTGTGTGAGTCTTTTATTCTGAGGCGGGTCTTTTGTAGATAGCATATATTTGGGTCATGTTTACTTATCCACTCAGCCACCCTATGTCTTTTTGTTGGAGCATTTAATCTATTTACATTTAAGGTTATTATTGATAGATACTTATCTATTGCCATTTTAATTCTTTATGCCTGTCTTTCTTTCTCTCTCTATTTCTACTTCTAATTACAGCAGTCCCTTTAACATTTCCTGTAATGCTGGCTTGGTAGTGATAAATTCCTTTAGACTTTTTTTGTCTAGGAAGCTCTTTATTTCACCATCTATTGTGAATGATAGCCTTACTGGATAGAGTACTCTTGGTTCCAGATCCTTGTTTTGCATTACCTTGAATACTTCATGGCATTCCCTTCTGGCCTGTAGAGTTTCTGATGAGAAGTTAGATGACAGCCTTATGGGAGCTCCTTCATAGGTAACAGATTGCTTTTCTCTTGCTGCCTTTACTATTCTCTCTTCGTCTTGAATTTTTGGCATTGTAATTATGATGTGTCTGGGCATGGGCCTCCTTGGATTCTTCTTGCTTGGGACTCTCTGTGCCTCCTGAACTTGTGTGACTTTTTCTTTCACCAGGTTAGGGAAGTTTTCTGCAGTTATTTCTTCAAACAGGTTCTCTAACCCTTGCTTATTTTCTACCTCTTCTGGTTCTCCTATGATGCGAATATAGTTACATTTATGTTGTCCCTCAGCTCCCTTAGACTGTCCTCCTGTTTTTTAATTGTTTTTTCTTTTTGGATGTCTGATTGAGTGATTTTTTCTACACTATCTTCTAATTTGTAGATCTGATCCTCAGATTCCTTCAATCTGATGTTTATTCCTTCCAATGTATTCTTTATTTCTATGTCATTCTTCATTTCTGACTGGTCATTTTTCATAGTTTCCATATCTTTTTTCATGCTGTTGAGCATCCTTACAATCAATATTCTGAACTCTATATCTGATAGACTGCTTATCTCCATTTCATTTAGCTCTTTTTCTGGAGACTTCTCTTGTTCTTTCATTTGGGGCTTGTTTTTTTGTCTCCCCACTTTGGCTGCCTGTTTGGGTTTGTTTCTACATGTTAGGTAGATCTTCTAGTACTCTCAGTCTTTTCATACAGTCTCTGGTGCAGGCCAATGTCAGACACTGTTTGTGACTGGCCTTGAGTACCCTGTTTGGAGCTATCAACAACCCACAGCTTGAGGTACCCTCTGCTGGGGTTGAGTGCATTCGGACAGGACAAAGACGCACACCAAAGTCTGCTTTTCCAAGGCTCGATCCAGAAGCAGATCAGGCAAAGACTCAAAGCACTCTGAGGTCTGCCTCTGCCTGCAGACTGATTAATCTTATTCTCTTAAGGAGCCTCAGACTGTAGAAACTCCTCTGGGTAGGTCAAGAGGTTTCCCAGCAGGATGGAGCAATTGCTTCCCTCTCAGGCAAAAGCTGCTTGGAAAGTAAATGTCTCCCTGAGAAAGATGTCCTTTGCAGTATGGGGGAATGACTTGGCACGGGAATCCAGAGGGGTCCCTCTGAGCTCTATCTCCAGAGTTCACAGCCCTAGATTCTCCTCATATAGCTCCAATCCACTCTGCTCTCCCTCTGCTGGAGCCCAAGGTGAGGGACTACACATGAAACTTTGTGCGTTGGCTCTTTAAGAGTGTGCTTGTATTTCCAGTGGTCTTTCCCTGGCAGACAGAAACCCTGCTGCTTTTTGCAGCCAGATGTTTTGTGGTCACCTTTCTCAGTTCTGGTGCTCTTGCCTAGGAAGCCCAGCCTGGGGTTTAGGCCCCAGAGTCCTCAGTGGGAATCCCCCACAGCTGAGATATCCCTTGGGACCTTTAGCTGCTGCTTGTTGGAGCCCAGCCCTCTCATGCCTTTGCACTTCCTACCAGTCTCTATGAGGTCTCCACTTTAGGTCCTTGGTTATGAGGGTGCTCTCCAGCTCGTCTTCAGTTGCAGTTGATTATTCAGGATGGTTTTTCTATATTTTAGTTGTAATTCCAGTTTGATCCCAGGAGAGCATCAGTGTAGTTTCCACTCAGTCTGCTGCCATCTTTAATCTCTTCTTCTACATTTTAAGATCCATAAACTCAAAGGTTTTGTTGTTGTTGTTTGTTTGTGTTTTTTGTGTGTGGCTTTTTTGGCCTGTTTATTCATTGAGATATCCAGGTGTTTAGAACAGTGCCTGAACCACTGAGGACACTCAACTAATATTTACTTAACAAATGCATTCATCAACAAAAACCTCTTGTTAAGGTAATACATACTATATTACATGAGGTATATTATGCTTTCTGTCATACCATTTATATATTTTTAAAATATGTATAATAAAATTAAAATACTTCAGAAGTAATAATGCCTTAATAACTATACTATTCCTGTAAAGTTGTGGAAGACATGTATTTTGGTCACTCACTAGACAAGGAAATGAAATGTGTGATTTGTAAGTAAAATTGGGAAGCCAGGTAAAAAAAAAAAAAAAACAAATAAAAATAAGACTTCTCCTTATTGAAAATAAACAAGAGACTCTCCTCCTCTTTTTTAGATCATTTACTTTAGAACAATTCTCAACCATGGTATGCACTGAAAGTAATTTTTGTGACCAGGAATTTGTATTCAGCAGGTGGCTCAAGTGCAAGCAATGGCTGAATGTGTTAAAGGTGTTTCTGAAGGCTCAGGATTCAATTTTGGGTCACCCGATAAACAGGAATTTGGAGTCAGTAAAAGTGGTGGGAATGGAAAGAGCAGTAGTGGATCTGCTCAGTCTGAAGATTTGAATCCTGGGTCTGATGTCAGTGACTCAGGTTTCCTAACCTGGACTCTATTCCTAAGAAATCTAAGTTAATTTCTTCTTTATTTCTTTGAATCACATTTTGATTTTCCATTGAGAGGAAATTGTAAAATCAAAGAATATAAAAAAGCATTGCCCAGCCAGTGTGGCTCAGTGACTGAGTGTCAACCCATGAACCTGGAGGTCGAGGTTCGATTCCCAGTCAGGACACATACTCAGGTCTTGGGCTCGATCCCCAGTAGGGGGAGTGCAGGAGGCAGCAAATCAATGACTCTCTCTCATTATTAATGATTCTATCTTTCTCTCTCCCTTCCTCTCTCTGAAATCAATTTAAAAAAATTAAGCATAAAGTTCTTTAATGGTCTATATATCCCATTCTTAAATATGTTAGTTTTTCTCTCCTTAAGGAATGAAAATGGTGGGGATAACATTGCTTTGGAGTTTGTCCAACTTTATGTTGGCTGGCTGAGTGGCTGGTAAGTTTCTTTTGCTTGGCGTTTCTATTTATCCAAAGCAGCTCTATGCTTAGGGACCCCCACATCCCTCCTAAATAATACACAGACCTGGATGGTTCCCTGAGAAACACAGGAAAAAACTCAATTGCTCATAATTTCAGAGGATTTTCAGAGAACTATAGAATTCTAAGAGTTCCCTTGTCTTACTCCAATTCTTTGAATGAGGACTTTTAGGAGAATGCTCAAGACTCATATGCCCCAAATTATTCTACTTAACACCCAGATTTAGTACACTTGGAAGTAGAGAAGCTGCTGCTGTATCATTATGATAGGACCTGTGAGTTCTGTCTGTGTTTATGATGAAGTGATTGAGGTCTTCATGCAACAACTGACCTGCTGCTTATTCTTGCTTTGTGTTTACCACAAAGAAAACATTCTCCAATTACATTTTACTGTATTTAGGTTGTAGAAAGACATAGTGATCTAAAATGCCCTATAAGAAAAACATATAAAAGTAATCTTGGGCTATTTTGATTGCTGT